ACCGAGGTCTGCTTCAGGTGGTGACTTGCCGTGTTTCGTCCCGACCGTTGTAACGATGTTGCCAACGATGTAAATAAATAAATGTGCGCGTCGGGTTTTACCCCTCCGACTGACACTGTTCGAATTCCTTGAACAAATACTTCCACGCCTGTGCAAGCGTTTCCCCATCCTTGAAGTTGTAATAATGTTTTTAACAAGTTATAATATTTATTGAAAACTTTATTGTATGTTTAAATGTTAAACATGGGTTCTGTAGCCCATAGATCAAGGAATCGTATACATTGCTAAAGCTCATTATTGACAGTTGATGATTTGGGCATTACTTGCCTAATGTGACACTTGGGAGGTATCTAAATGTTTTTGGTATTGAATGTCATTGAAAAGCTGATAGTGTCATTCAAGCTAGTAGAAACAATCTTCAGTTTCAAAATGCTTTACAAAGGCTGGATTCAAGAGTGTTTTGATTTATGAAGAAGATGACTATCTTTTGGCCTGGCAACAACTTAAAGACAGTCTAGAAGAAGCAGAAGCAAACATAAATGCCAAAAATTATGTTTTTATTTTGACCAAACTATCAAAACTGAAGAAAACAGAAATACCGCTTTTAGATAGTTTGAGCAAGAATTCACAAGTGAAGAAGACAATTAAGTAACAACAGAAGAGCAAGAACAGAAAGGAGAGAATCCAATTCAGTTATTTTCTAGCTCTTTACATGTATTAAAAAAATTTAAAGAGGTTTCTTATTCACAAACACTCGGAATATTCATCCAGTGCATTACAAAAAGTAATTGAAGAAACTGAAAGAGATGTTAAAGCAAAGTGGCCGAGAACAAAAATAGATACACACACAATTATTTCGCTTCCTCTGCATGTCTTAAAGTGTGAAATTTAATTGGAACAAGAGGATCTCTACTCATTAAAATGTTGCTGAATTACAATATTGTTTATTTTCCTTAAAATAGTCCTATACTATGTAAATTAAAACTACTGTAGACAATGAAAGACAAATTAAGAATGATTAATTTTTTTATACCATAATTTTGCATTTTATTCTTGGCTGTGTTACAGAAACATTTTTAAATTTACAAAACTTAAGAAAATTTCCTCGTGTGTGAAAGGACAAGTGATTCTGTATTTTTCTGTATTGTCTTTTTTAAGAATTCTCTTAAACAGGGGTGCACAACCTGTGGCCCGCTGGCCACATACGGCCCCTTATCAATGTTTATGCGGCCCGCGGACGGTACAGGCCAAATCCCTTCTTTTGAAGTTTCTAAGTGTAGAACTTTTTCCCTTTCACAAAGTCATTAGCACCCAACTGTTTTATGACTTTCCCTGAGGTGAGAAATGGGGGGTTGTTCTATAAATAAGTCTATTTCTAGCTAACACTTTCTGGTTTAGATATCAAATATTTTAAGTTTAATACATAGTATTATAGCGATTTTTCGAAGAATCAAATAGAATAAAATGATGTTAGAACGTCATTTCCGATGTTATTAGGAAGTTTCTATTTTGGCGGGAAATTTTCAATTTTATGCTTCGGAAAACTTGCTTATTTGTCTAAATAGCATCAAATAACAAAAATAAGTGAAAATAGCGCTGAAAAACCATGAAAATAACGATTTTTTAGCATTTGTTTACATTCTAGATTCTGATTGGTATAGTCGAATTTGAATCAATCTTTTCTGAAAAGACGCTTATTCGTCAACCTAATGTCATTCAAACTAGAAAAAA